CTGATGAAGATCAAAGAACACAGCCTTCTGTATGGATTACATCTCAATGTAAAGAAAACAAAAGTCCTCACCACTGGGCCAATAAACAATATTTTTATCAATGGAGAAAAGTTTGAAGTTGTCAAGGACTTCATTCTTCTGGGATCAACTACCAACACGCACAGAAGCAGCAGTCAAGAAATCAAACGATGTATTGCATTAGGCAAATTTGTTGCACAAGACCTTTTTCAAGTATTAAAGAGCAAAGATGTCAGCTTGAGGACTAAGGTACGCCTGACCCAAGCCATGGTATTTTCAAGAACCTCATATGCATGCAAAAGCTGGAGAGTGAATAAGGAAGACCATAGAAGAATTGATGCTTTTGAGTTATGGTGTTGGAGGAGAGTACTGAAAGTGCCATGGGTTGCCAAAAGAACCAATAGATCCATTTTGGAAGAAGTGCAGCCAGAGTGCTCCCTGGAGGCCAATATGTCCAACCTTTGTCTCTCATACTTTGGACATATTGTCAGGAGGGCCCAGTCGCTGGTAAGTCATGTTTGGTAAGGTGGAGGGTCAGAGAAAAAGAGGAAAACCCCCAACGAGATGCATTGGCCAAGTGGCAGCATCGATGGACTCAAGTGTGACAACAGTAGTGAGGTTGGCCCAGGATTGGGCAGTGTTTCGTTCTGCTGTGCATAGGATCACTATGGGTCGGTACCAACTTGATGGCACCTAACAACAACCACAACAATATAGTGATCCCGTATAAGGTTTCCAAGGAGTGACTGATGGGTTTGAAGCACTGACCTTGTGATTAGCAGCCCACTGCTGCACCAAGACTCCTGGCATCCAGTAGGTGCTCTATAAAAGGTCTGCTGGACAGTGACTGGAGATGTCCAAGAAGAGATGTAGAAGGTTAAGCTAGAGCACTGTTTTACAAGAGCCAAGAGGCAGATGCATGCAGTAAGAAAAAAGAAAGCAAGACAGAATAAACTTTTTTAAAGAGAAAAAAGTTTATATATAAAAGACTCTACACTCTTATGGATTGA